TTAAGGTGTCCAGTGTCGTGACATCCACAACCTTAGTGCACTTTCTACAAGGGATCGTGGCCCTCCAGACCCAACATGTAGCCGGCATTGGGGCGAGAGCACGGTTCCTGAAATAGATTGTGAAGGGGTCTCAGGCGGAAGAGTGGGCGGAAGAGTGCTGGAGTGGGCGGAAAATAGGCTGCTGGAGTGGGCGGAAGAGTGCTCCCCGGCTTCCCTGTGGCACTCTTCTGTGTATTTTTCTTTCGTGGGAGCTTCTACAGCGAAACGCCATCACGCAGAAAACCTGCCAGGATTGGACCGTTCAGATCGTGGGAGGTCTTCAGGCAGTTGTTGTTTATCCCTTAGCGATAACGGGCGTGACCAGGGGGGGGTGCCCTCATGTCACGATGTGCGCCAACGTCGCCGTTCCTGGGAATCCCCTAGGAACAGCAAGCTCCCAGGCGGCGCCGGCGCGGGGGGAAGGGGGAGGGGGGGGCCGGTCACTCTGGAGGCAGGAAAGGGGTGTGGTGCGAAGGGGCGTGGTGCCAATTTCATGCAACGGGGGGTCTGGCGATGTTCTCGATCGTGGATAGCATTGCCATTGCCACGATGGGCACCACACCCCTTTATTATGTCACACCTCGTTCCGACCTCCAAAGTCACGGACGCTATCGCGCATACACGCCGGTCGTTGAAAGTTTGTATTTCTGGATTTCCAGATCCTAATATACTTCAAGCGCCTTCCTACTTCAAGTGTCGATCTGCTTTTGCTGTGTGTTCTTCTCTGGGAGGACCTGAACCCAATCTACTTGATCCGCCTTCCTACCTCGGGTTTTTCCCTACTTCTACCGACCGATGTGCAACAGCAAGACAGGCTCCTAACTATACTCCGAGTTTCTCAGTAAGCGTCGGCGGGGCGTCACCTCCGCCGACAGCCCCACATCGACCCCCGTCGCGGGCAGCCACCGCGCGGCGACGGCGATCGACCCCCGTCGCGGCGCGACGACGAGGCGAGGTTGACCCCTGTTGGGGGGGTACCCCCCCACGCTTATCAAGAAACCCAGAGTAGAAATAAGCTGCAATAGCTGACTCAAGTCGTGGACGATCTTCTGCTGGAGTGCGCGGCCCACCACTCAGCCATGATGGGATGTGGCCTCGGATGCTAAGCTTATGTCGGGCCTGTCCCCCTACAGGAGGATTTTCGACGAGAAATAAAAAGATACCCCAAACATAGTAAACAAATAATCCAAACATAGTCTGGGGACTATTTGTTGAACATTTTTTGACCTTCTTGGGGTATTTTTGGAATATTTTTGGGGTATGTTTTATTTTTCGTCGAAAATCCCCCTGTAGGGGGACACGCCCGACATAATGCTGAGCGCTCTCCGCGCTTGAGCCACAATGGCCACGGCTCGTCGTAAGTAGGGGCGACGCCCCCCGAAGGAGGACATGGGCTCGGAGTACGAGGCGGCCTTCGAGGACGCCCCCTTCGCGCTGCGGGGCGGCCTGCCCGGGACGACGGCGCGGCTCAGGAGGGTCGGCCGCGCCGCGCCGGCCCGCCGGCCCCGGGGGCCCCGGGAGGGCTGCGGCTGGGTGGGGCCAGTGCCTCGGGAGGCCCTCCAACACACACACACACATACATTTATATATATATATATATGTATATATATATAGATATTTACAGCGCTTGTTTTCATACATGCTCCGCGTGCGGACCATGTATTAAAAATAAAGGGTTGATTAATAAATACAAGGATGAGTTTATGCATTCCTTTTTATTCATAATCTAATCATGTATTCAAAATATTATATTTCAAATCCTATGTATTAAAACCTGCCCTGTGCATATACATCGAGATGTATAAACACATGTATGTTTGAACATGTATGGGTGTGTATATATATATATATACAGATATGCTTGTTTATGTGTGGGTGTCTGTATTTACAGATTATACATCGAGCGTTTCCAAAAAAGGGCCGTGCCTTCGAGGATCGATGGAGGTGCCATCCCTTCCTCGGCCGGAGGCGGCGGCGGGTGGCGGAAGCGAAACACGAGGGCGGCTTCGCCGGCGGGAGTTGGCGGGAGGCCGGCGGAGGCAAGCGGGAGCAGAAGACGACCTCGCAAGAGGTGGCAGGCTTCTTTTGGGCCCAGGATTTCCAGAATCCGCCGTTCATACATACATACACCATGAAAGCCGCGGTTCGGTTCGGTTCGGCTCGGTTCGTTCTGTTCGCCATGGTTCGGTTCGGCCGGCTCGGTTCGGCGGGTTCGGTTCGCACCGCGGGCCAGTTCGGTTCGGCCAGTTCGGTTTGGCAGGCCAGTTCGGTTCTGCCGGTTCGGTTCCAGACCCAGTTCTCGGTTTTCGGTTCGGTTCGCGGCCATCATGATATATCTATACATACATATATATGTGTATATATATATAGAGAGAGAGAGATTTGCACATGTGAGGCGTTGCAAAAAGTGCCTTGCCTTCGAGGATCAAAGGAGTTGTCTCTTCCGTGGCGGAAGGCGGCGGAAGGGCGGCGGAAGGTCGGAAATCGCTCATATGTGCACAGACAACCTTCAGTGGATTGTCTTTGGGTCCTATGGGAAGGGTGGCGGTGTATAAGTCACACGTGACAACACGCGATGGTATGCACCCTCCCTTGAAGGTACAGGGGCACCTCCCATGGTACTCCACACTCCCTTGATATGAATACTAGTCTCCCCTATTCCCCGAAGCTGGCCGGGGAATGCCTCGCCCTCTCCGCGTATTGTTGTTGTACACTACACACATCGGATTTCAAAGGTTGGTGTTTCCTACGCTTGTTTCTACAATCCGATAGTTGTCGGTAAATGGTGCTGCCGCTTCAGCGTGGGCCTCATTTTAGGATCGGCGCTTTGTTCCCGTCTTTCAGAATTGCACTCCCGCCCCAATCGCGGGCCGCTTTTCTGGATCACAGTCGTTCCTCATCGTTGTCGCCCCCCTCCTTTCCCTTCCCCCGCCTTCCCCTGGCCCTGTTGTCCCTCCCGCTCCTAACTCCCACTGCTGCTGTTTTGTCCTCGTCTCCCTCATTATTTCTCCGGCTCATTCGCCACCTCCTCCTCCTCCTCCTCCTCCTTCTCCTCCTCCTCCTCCCCCTCCTTCACTGTACTCAGCTTGCCTTCAGCGGCCCTTTTTGCTCTTTTCTAGTGCGGCCTCGGGTTGCGCAGAGATAGCACCCCCAGGTAGTCCTGGCTGGCCTCAGCAGGCCCCCCGAATAGTCCGGTCCTCTCCCAGCATGCTGGCGCCGCCTCCAGCCCAGGATGCTGAGGCCGCCACTGTTGAGGCCAGCCGAGACTACCTGGGGGTGGTGTCTGTGCGCAACCCGAAGCCTCATCAGTGCTCCTTCTCCTCCTTCTCCTCCTCCTCCCCCTCTTCCTCCTCCCCTCTTCCTCCTCCTTCTCCTTCTCCTCCTCTTCCTCCTCCGCCTCCTCCTGCTCCTTCTCCTCCCACTCCTCCTCCCCCTGCCGTCCTCCAACAGACAGGACGCTGAAGCAAGGACTGCTTTGAGCTCAGGAAGTGCTTTGGTTTTCGGGCCGTTCCTCAGATCTAGGTCCAGAAGCGTAATGTCCAACACCTGTTAAAAGTATGACTCCCCCCCTCCCGCCATGGCGCCTCGCGCATGGCGTTTGTCCATACAAGATGCGCGTGGGCCACCGCGCGCGCGGCGGCCCTGGTCCCTCTCGCGGTGTGTTTTTTTCCATACAGGATGCAAGGGGACCGCCGCCCGCGCGGCGGCCTTGTGCCCCTCGCGCATTGTGGCTTTCCATACAAAGGTGCGCGTGGGCCATCGCGCGCGCGGCGGCCCATGACCCCTCGCGCAGTGTGTGTTTCTGTGCAAGATGCGCGTGGGCTGCGGCACGCGCGGCTGCCTTGGCCACTCGCGCATTGAGTTTCTCCATGCAGGATGCGCGGGGGCCGCCGCGCGCGCGGCCGCCCATTGCCCCTGGCGCGTTCTGTTGTGTTGTTCCATACAAGATGCACGTGGGCCGCCGCGCGCGCGCGGCGGCCCATGGCTCCTCGCGCATTGTATGTTTTTTCCACAAGATCGTTGGCCGTCGCGTGCGCGGCGGCCCTGGCCCCTCGCGCATCGTGTGTTTCCATGCAGGGTGCGCGTGGGCCGCCGCGCGCGCGGCGGCCCGTAGCCTCTCGCGCACTGTGGTTTTCCATGCAGTATGCCCCATCGCGCATTGTGTTTTTACATGTGAGATGCGCCTGGGCCGCCGCGCCCGCGGCGGCCCTGGCCCCTCGCGACGGCCCATGGCCTCACGCGCGCTTTGGTTTTCCATGCAAGACGCGCGTGGGCCGCCGCGCGCGGCGGCCCTTTGCGCCTCGCGCGGTTGGTTTTTGTCGTGCCAGGTGCGCATGGGCCGCCGCGCGCGCGGCAGCCCATTGGCTTTCGCGCATTGCGTTTTTCCATACAAGATGCGCGTGGGCCGCCGCTCGCGCGCGGCGGGCCATGGCCCTCGCACGTTGTGTTTTTCCATGCAGTATGCGCGTGGGCCGCCGCGCGCCAGGCGTCCCTGGCCCCTCGCGCATGGCGTTCTTTTCCATCTAAGATGCGCGTGGGCCGCCGCGTGCGCGGCGGCCCTGGCCCCTCGTGCATTTTTCGTTTGCCATGCAAGGCTCGCGTGAACCGCCGCGCGCGCGGCGGCCCTGGCGCCTCTCGCATGGTGTTTTTCTATATAAGATCCGCGGGGGCCGCCGCGCGCGCGGCGGCCCATGGCCCCTCGCGCATGGTGTGTTTCCGTGCAAGATGCGCGCGGGCCGCCGCGGCCCTGTGCCCTTCGCGCGTGGTGTTTTTGTCTATGCAAGGTGCGCGTGGGCCGCAGCGCTTGCGCGGCGGCCCATTGCCATTCGCGCGTTGTGTGCTTCCATTCAAGATGCGCGTGGGCCGCCGCGCGCGCGGCAGCCCATTGGCTTTCGCGCGTTGCGTTTTTCCATGCAAGATGCGCGTGGGCCGCCGCGCGCGCGGCGGCCCTGGCCCCTCGCGCATTTTTCGTCTGCCATGCAAGATGGGTGTGGGCAGCCGCGCGCGCGGCGGCTTTGGCCCTTCGCGAATTGTTTCTCCATGCGAGGTGCGTGGGCCGCCGCGCGCGCGGCGGCCCTGGCCCCATGCGCATTGTGCGCTTCGGCACAAGATGCGCATGGGCCGCCGCGCGCGCGTCGGCCCATGCCACACTCGTGCGTTGTTGTTTTTCCATACAAGGTGCGCGTGGGCCATCGCGCGCGCGATGGCCCGGGCCCCTTTCGGATTTTGCTTTTCCATCCAAGATGCGCGCGGCGGCTTTTGGCCCCTCGCGCATTGCGTTTGTCCTGCAATATTCGCTTGGGCCGCGGCGCGCGCTGCGGACCATGGACCCTCGCGCGTTGTGTTTTTCCATGTAGGATGCCCGTGTGCCGCGGCGCGCGCGGCGGAGCATGGCTGCTCGCGCACGGTGTTTTTTCCACGCAGGAGGCTCGTGGGCCGCCGCGCCCGCTGCGGCCGTCAATCGGGAAGTCGCCATGCTGGCCTGCGAACCCAAGTGAGCCCGCAGCGGTTGCCGATTCGTGCGCCAACGTAACATACGGTCTTTAGGTTTTCGTTTGTCGGCGCGGCCTACAATGCGCCGACGCGCCCGCGCGCGTGCGGCGTGAACCCGCAGCCGTTTCCGATGGGGTTTTCCATGAAACATGTGGTCTTTCCGTTTTGCTTTCGTCCATTGGTGCAGCCTACAATGCGTTGGCGCGCGCGTTCGTTTGGCGTTTTTTTTGTTTTGTCCGCAATAGGAAAATTGCTTTGCTGGCCTTGGAACTAACGTGAACCCTTAGCGCTTGCCGATTTGATTGGCGGTTTCTGTTTTTCCCGCAATAGGAACGTCGCTGTGCTAGCCTGCGGACTGAAGCGAATCTTTTCTAGCGGTTGTCGATTGGGTTTTCAAGTTGGGCTGCGGTCTTTACGTTTTCGTTTATCGGTGCTGCCTACAATGCGCCGACGCGCGCGTGTGGCGGTTTGTGTACTGTTCGCGATGGGAAAGTCGCCATGCGCCGGACACTGCGCTGTGGCTTTGGATGCCCAGAATCATTCTCCGGGGTGCGCTCTGGTGATTGCGCTTTGGTGAGGCGATGGGGGTGGGAGTGCACGCGTGGTGAGTGCGCGCGCCGAGTGTCGGTGCTGAGTGTCGGCGCCGAGTTTGACTGCCGAGTGTCGTCGCCGAGTGTCGGCGCCGAGCGTCGGTGCCAAGCGTCGGCGACGATCGTCGTTGACGCGCCGAGCGTCGGCGCCGATCGTCGTTGACGCGCGGGGGGTCTCTAAAGACCTGCCCCCCCGCGCGAACCCAACGCAGGAGCCGGCCCCTGGACGCGGAGTGCCAGGGCGGTCGCGGGGACGTCCCGGGCGGCCCGGTTTGCCCCGCCTCCTTCGGCTTCTATATGCGCACTACAGCGTCGCGAATATTTTGTTTAAAACTGTCCCCCGAGATTGTTTTAACAGTGTTTCTAGACATTAATTATTGGCGGCGAGGGCTTGGCCGTGGAAGGATAACCTGTTTCGTTTTTTATCGAAGGTTCCCGGTTGTAGGGCGATGAAGTAGTCCTCCTCTCCGTCGGGAGGATCGAGGAGTGATGATTGAAGATCGATCAAGGATCGAACATCAGTCGAGGGCTGGGAATCGAGGGCCGGGGATCGAGAGTCGAGGATTGCCGCTGCCGCCGCCGCTGGTTCTTTACGTTCGTGTTTTGGACAGAAAGAACAACGGCAAAGACCAGTAGCAGTTCCAGTCTCTTCTGGCCAGTGCTCGCTGTCGGTGTCGCCACCGGCGTTGTCACCTTGAGACGACAAGTCGCCTGCGCAACAGTTACCGCTGTCGGATTTGGACAAGATTCGCTGTCACGGCATCGTCCTAGGTCGTTCCGTCCCCGTGTCGGGCGTGTCGAGCGTTGGTGCTGCTTCCTCCCAGGCGTACGCGTGCTGTTACTACTTCCGCAATCCCCCTTCCTTTTGCATCCTGCCCCTCGTTTCCATGATTATTTTGTGTTTATACTTCCATTCGCTCCTCCGCATTTAACCGTTCCATTCTTTCCTCGCGTGCCTCTACTCACCCACGCACTCCTCGGCAGCAGGAGCCGCCCTGGCCCCGAAGCCAGCCTTTCTGTTCTGCGGCCCATCCAGACTGCCTTGGCCCCAACTGCGCGCCCGTTCGCCGGGCCGCTCTTTTTGGAGCCGTACAGACTTGCCACTTACGGCTGGCTCACTCTTCCCCCTACCTGCGAAGCCTCGTGTTGCAGGCTCCGCACAAGCCTTTTCGGGAGGCCTGCGGGCGTCTCCAGGGTCTCCCGGGGGGGGGCTACAGGGATCCCGACAGGTCCCCAGCGAACGGCCAGAAACGCAAAGCTACGTCCGAGGATATTTAAGTCGCCCCCTGTGAGCCTACGAAGTCATCCTCCCCTCACCATCTCCAGCAGCCCATGCTCTCGCGCCCTCCCCTCCGCCTCTTCAGTTTCCCCCGCCTTACCCTGCCCAGCCCCAGCTCCCCGCCCCCCCGCATCAGCTCCCGCATTCGCCGCCGTCATCCGCCTCCGCCTCCCTCTCCAGTCCTTTCCTTCTTCCGCTGACGCGCTTGCAGATGGCGACGTCTTGTGTTGCATTCCTGGCTTGACCAGCGATCTCCAGTCTCACGTCACGAAGGCAGTCGTGCATTGTTGAAGAGATGCTTGCCCCTCCCCCCTTCCTCCCCCCATTTCCTGGTTCGCCTTCTTCTTAGGATGCAACTCCTGGGAGGTTCAATTCAGCATCGGCGCTGGCACACCCGCAGTCGACAACCGACCAAATCCGGCCTAATCCCGCCTCATCCCACACAGTCCCGCTCAATCCGGTTTCATCTGGCTCGGTCGGGCTGAATCCTGGACCTGGTCCGGCCACGTCTGGCCTACTCCAGCATAGTAATAATGGCGACCCAATCGGGGGAAGGGGCTAGAAAGAGGATCAATCCGTTCCAGAGCGTCCTGGAACGCTCTCAGAGCGTTCCTGATTGCTCGGAGAAGGCCGCGGCGCCCGATGCAGCTTCCAGAGCCGCCGGATCTCAGATATTCTGGAGTTATCCTCGCCCGATGTTGTCCTCGCCCTGGCTACGGCTCCTCTCATCTTGGCATCGCTCGGACGTGTGCATTTTTCCTTCGGCGAGGACCATCCTCGATCATTTGGCGAAGAAACCACGCACGAAACCGGAAAAAAACACAGGAAATGGACGTCCGAGCGATGGCCAGTCATAGCTCTCTACCAGGAGTTGTCCACTGGGAGTCGCTTCCTGTAATCACTCCTCCGCGCAGACGCTGCCCGGTCACCCGTAGGAACGCAGCAAGCTCTTTGGGTTCATCCCCCTCCTCTCCAGGCCGCCCCAGCGGGTGGCCAGGCCAGGGCAGGGTCCTGGCATCGCTCGGACGTGTGCATTTTTTCTCGGCGAGAACCATCGAGGAGCATCCTTGATCACTTGGCGAAACAACCACGCACGAAACCGAAAAAAACACAGGGAATGGACGTCCGAGCGATGGCGAAGGGTGGGGTCGGAAGATCGCTCGCCGCGTCTCCGAGGCAACGGCGGCGTGGTGTGATGTGGGAGCACGGCTTCCTCCTCTCGAGGAAGGGAACGGCATAAACGCTTTTGGGGCTCCACGCGGATCTCTTCGATCTCCGTTGAAGCGCTCTGGCGGCGCCTCCAGCGCCGCCCCTGGCGCGCTCCGCGCGCCAGGGAGGCGGGTCCAGCTCAGCTCCAAGAATCCGCGCGGACCGCCCATCAATGTTTATGCTTATGCCATTTGTTGTTCGTCTATCCTCGCTGGCAAATCTTTGGAGCCTTGTGTACCCTCTTGCTTCCGTCTTTAGCGTCGGTTAGCGTTAAAGTCCAGGGTTCGCCAGGGACTGGGTTCTTTTCGAAACCGCCGAAGCCCTCCCGAACCCCTCCGAAAACCCTCCAGGAAGGGTTCTGGAGGGCTTTTCGGAGGGTCTTGGGAGAGTTTTCGAAGGGGGGGAACCAGTGCCTAGCGAACCTTGGACTTTCTAAGGTTAGCGCCAGTTGGCGTCTGGTAAGCGATGAGATAACGCCGATGTTGCGCCGATCGGCGCCGACTTAGCGTCGACGAGCGTCCATGCGCAAAAGCCAACAAGATGGTCTGGGAGGCTCCCACGAGTTGCCACCGGACTTCTCCGTCCCGAATGACGCCCGTGCACGCCGCATCGGCGATGCGTCGGCGATGCGGTGCGACCCTCCGGCCCCATCTACTTGGCATCGCTCGGACGTGTGCATTTTTCCTTCGGCGAGGACCATCGAGGAGCATCCTTGATCATTTGGCGAAAAAACCACACACGAAACCAAAAACGGCACAGGGAATGGACGTCCGAGCGATGGCCAGTCTAGCGGGGCCCAGCGAGTGCGAAATGCCCCAGGGCGGGTGTCCGCGGCGCCCCGCGGGGAAGTTTTTTGCGACCTTGGCACATCTGCTCCCCGGGCGTCGCCGTCGGCCTGGGCGGCGTCGCCGTCAGGGCCGCCGGGCCGCCGCCAGCCGCCCAGACGAGGAGCACGCATTTGCGCATCGTCCCCGCCCCATTTTCGGGACGATCGAAGTGGTACGCGGAAGAATGGGTACACTGCCCAACAGCAGTTCCTGGTAAATTCTGAGCAAGGCTCGCTGTCCGCGCTGCCGCGGGCGTTCTTCTTTTTTTTGGGGGGGGGTCTTGAGACAAAAACGCCGCCTGCGCGACAGCGGCCGCTGTCGGTTGTGGGCAAAATTGGTTGTTCGGCATTGTACCCACTTTTTCCGTACCCCTTTCGGGCGTCCAAACAGTTGTTCTCAGTCCTCCGGCGACCCCCTCCTGGGATGGCCTCCCTCTTGTGCTCGGCTCGGGCAGGAAATGGCTGGAGGCTCTCGCGCGGTGCATCAGCGCGGGGCAGCTGAGCCCGATGACCTGTGCCAGCGCACTCTGCTTCCTGGGCGTCCCCACGGAGGCCGCGAACTGACCCACCGCCTGCCGGCGGCGCGCAGGGGGGGTGGGATCCAGGGGCATCGTCAGGGGGGGCCTTTGGGCTCAGGGGGGAAATGTCTTCGGGGTTTTCGAGGCTCGAGGGTTCCCCGCCATGTGCGGGGCTTCGCGGCGGTCTTCCAGCCTCGAGATGCTCTCCAGCAGCGGCGCCTCGCCGCGAGCGTTCCTGGCGTGCACAGATCGTCTCGAGCGGCCGCTGCAGAGCGGAGTGATGACCCTCCAGGCCTCCTGACTGGGGTCCGAGTAGATGGGGTCGGAGTATCGCGCCGCATCGCCTCATCAGCGATGCGGCAAGGTTCAGGAGGGAGAAAAGCACAGACACAATTCATCGTCGATCCCCGAGAAAATATGGGAACATATGGGAAGGGGGGGGAAGACAACAACCCAGGAAATATTGGAAACTATGGGGGATCCTGTTATTTGTGTGTATTCATCTGTGTGTCCCGGGGCCCCTTCAAAGATGTGCGGAGCCCGATTTGCTTCACGCCGACGTCGCCGATGCCTCGCCAGCGTCGACGATGCGTCGCCGGTGCGTCCCCGAGGCGTCGCCGAGGCATCGCCGGGGCCTCGGCGGTGCGGCGCGAGCCTCCGGCCCCATCCAGGAGGCCTCCGGGCACCGAGCCCCCATCGACCACGGATCGCCGAGGGGGGCCCAGAAGCCTGCAGTCGGGCCCGTCCCTCTACAGGAGGGATGTTCACAAGTGGTCCAAAAATAGTCAGGGGACGATTTTGTTTTACTATGGTTTGACCTTTTTGGGTGCACTTTGGGGGTATGTTTCATTTTTCGCGCAACATTCCCCTGTAGGGGGTCAGGCCCGACCTAACAGTAGCCCACCCCGCCCGGGACCGTACGGGTTCGCCGATCCATCGGCGACGTATCGCCAATTCCAGGTCCATGTTTCAAGCAGTGGCGAAGCGTCCTGGCGTGCCTATAGTCCCACCAAACAATGTTCCAAGAACTTTTTTTGTGGGTCCCACGGAGTGTTCTTAGAACGTTTCTGGTTGGGACTGTCTTGTTTTATCACATCGGGTTTATGTTCTAAGAACATTGTTTTTGTGATTAGAACATTTGTGGGTTCTAAGAACGTTTAGTGGTAGGACTATAGGAATGCCAGGATGCTCAAATGTTTCCAATCCTGATCCAGGCCCCCCCCTTGTCCTTGCCCCTCGGGGGGGCGAGGCGAGCTTCGCTATCGGGTGCTTCTCGCCGACCTATCGGCGATGTATCGCCGATTCCAGGTCGATGTTTCCCCCCCTGAGGCAGCCCCCCCTTGTCGTTGGCCCTCACTTGTGCTTCTCAGAAGGCCATCGCGCCCGCCCCCCCATCCCCGCTTGCGCGCGCCGCCTGGCGCGACTGTAGGACGGGCAGGTGCTGCTGACCGTGCCCACCGGAATTCGAGATAGCCGTGCCATTTCAATGAACACTGCGCCATCCTTCACTACGGCAGGTTCGCGTCGTGTTCGCGCGGCGGCGACTCCGCTGCGGCCGTTCAAGGCTGAACGCCGCCGTCGGCCCAGAATCGGCCAGCATGGAACGATTGGCGATCAGAAAGGCGCCGATCGTTCAAGTTTGAACGATGCACGCGATGTCAGAAACCCACGCGCAGGCAGTCACGATACGAACCCGCCGTGAGTGCATTTTCGGGGGACCTCGTCTGTTGTGTGAACGGCGTCCTTCCCTGTGCCCGACCCGGGTTTGACGCGGACCTGGCGCGGATCTGGCGCGGATTCGGGGCGGAATCGGCGTCGGTTCGACGCGGATTCGGCGCGGATGGCGACGCGATGGGTCAGACAGGCGAGGTCCTGCGAAGATGCAGTCGGATTTGATTAGGCGGGTTCGCCCCCTGTCGTGCCCGCGCCCGCGCAGGCGCGTGTCGGTATTGTAGCCACTGGCCTCTCCTGGCTGCCGGCTCGAGCTGCGCGTCGTTGCCAAAAAGGTGCTGCTGATCCTTTTCACTCTCTGAGCAAGTTGGGGAGGAGCGCGAGGACTGCGTCTCCCGGTCGCCAGTTCTGGAGGCTCGTCTTGACTCGGGCGTGGTGGCGGTGATACAGCAAAGGGAGACACGAGTACTCGCCATCCGTGCGCCTGTATCTACCCTCTTCCCCCCTTGTCAATTCCCCCTTCCCTTCTTGCAGGAGGCGGTTGGACTCGCACGCACTCAGCTTGTTCCTGCTCAACCCACACCCACTTGCCTCGCACTCGCTCAACTGGTGCGTTCCTGTCTCGCATGCCGGTCCTCTCGCACGTCAATTACCGCGCATACCGCTTGACTCGTACGGGTTCCGCTAGCACCAGCTCCACTCACCGTCTCATTGCCCACGCCTCCTGCTTTTGCTCAGGCTTCGGAGTGCTAGTCTTGGCACTGCAAGTCTGGCACGGGTTTGGTTCGTGCTTGTTGACCTCCGTGCAAGTCCAGCTCCGTGCGACTTGAACCCCGAGCCGGCCTCTTCCGTGCGAGCCGAGCCCTGTGTGAGCCGTGCGTGTGCGAGAATGCCGCGTGCGAGTGAGGTAGCCGAGGGCAAGGGGGGGGGTGGAAGGAGGGACAGATGGCAAGGAGGGGCGCGGGACGGGAGGCAGTGCGGGTCGCGGTGAGGAGCTGGACGGGCAGGACGAGCAGGAGGGGGGGGGAGGACGAGGAGGGCAGGGAGGAGGGGCAGGAGGAGTTGGAGGGCGACAGAGAGGTCAAGAGGGCCGCGAAGAGGAGAGGAGGCCCAGGAGGCAGATGCTGGAGAAGTCCCCGTGCCTCTCAGGCAGATCCTTGTGCCCTCCGAGTGGGAGGACGGGAGGAGGGCTGGGCGAGCAGAGGGAGGGAGGAGCAGCACGAAAGGAGGAGGAGGAGGAAGTGGAGGAGGAGGAGGAGGAGGAGGAGGAGGAGGAGAAGGAGAACGAGAGGAGGAGGAGAACGAGAGGAGGAGGAGAACGAGAGGAGGAAGAGGAGGAGGAGGAGGAGGAGGAGGACGAGCGGAGGAGGAGGAGGAGCGAGGAGGAGGAGGAGGAGGAGGAGGAGGAGGAGGAGGAGTGAATAGGAGGGGATATTTAGGGGGACGAGGAGGGTGAGACGAGGAGGGGGACCAGCGGCTCGCCCACACGCGGGGACGGGGCCAGCGGGGGGGGCCTTCCCTCAGATTGGGGCGCTGCATTCCTCTCGCACCAGGCCTTTCCGCCGGGGTTTCGTGCCCGGGCCCTTTTCAGATCGATCCAGCTGGGAAAATGTAGGAGAGGGAAAAGGAGGAGAGGTGTAGGAGGAGGAGGAGGAGGAGGAGGAGGAGGAGGAGGAGGAGGAGGAGGCGGAGTATGAGGAGCAGGCGGAGGAGGAGGATGGGGAGGAGGAGGAGGCGGAGGAGGAGAAGGAGAGGTGTGGGAGGATGGGGAGTCGGAGGAGGAGGGGAGGAGGAGGAGGACGAGAGGGAAGATGATGGTAGTGATGTTGATGCTAATAATATCGATGATGCTGCTGCTGATGATGATGAGTATGAGGATGCTGATCATGATGATGCTGATGACGATGCTGATGTTGATGCTGATGCTGGTGTTGATGATGATGCTGATGATGATGCTGGTGTTGATGACGATTGATGATGATGATGGTGATGATGCTGATGATGATGATGTTGATGATGATCATGAACATGGTCATGATGCTGATGCTGATGCTGCTGCTGATGAGGGTGGTGGTGGTGGCTGTGCTGATGATGCTGATGATGATACTGGTCATGAGTATGGTGGTGGTGATGATGCTGGTGAGGGTTATGATGCTACTGATGCTGATGATGACGATGCTGATGGGAGACTGCTGCTGATGATGACGATGACGATGACGATGACAATGACAATGATGATGATGATGATGATGATGATGATGATGATGATGATGATGATAATGATGATGATGACGATGACGATGACGATGATGATGATGATGCTGATGCTGATGCTGATGATGATGATGATGATGATTATGATGATGATGCTGATGATGATGATGATGATGATGATGATGATGATACTGATGATGATGATGATGATGATGACGAGGAAGAGTAGGAGGACGAGGAGGAGGGGGAGGATGATGATGATGATGATGATGATGATGATGATGATGATGATGATGATGATGATGATGCTGATGCTGCTGCTGCTGCTGCTGCTGCTGATGATGATGATGATGATGATGATGATGATGATGATGATGATGATGATGATGATGAGAGGAGGGAGGAGGAGGAGGAGGAGGAGGAGGTGGAGGAGGAGGAGGAGAACCGAATCCGAATCGGCCCCAGCAGCGTGGCGGGCCGCGCCAGGGACGGCGACCTCCGCGCCGCGCGCGACGCGGCCACGAAGGGCGAGGCGGCCTTCCAAGCCATGGACGCCAAGGCGGAGGCGTGCCGTGCAGTGCGGGGCCTCGCGGCCCAAGCCCCGCGCGCCTTGCTTGCCGCTTCGGCGCCCGCTCCGCCCCGCGGGGGCACGAGGAGAGGAGCAATGGTAGGAGGAGGAGGAGGAGGAGGAGGAGGAGGATGAGGAGGAGGAGAAACATTCAGGGGGACTTGGAGCAGGATGTGGGGGGGGAGGAGGAGGAGGTGGTGGAGGAGGAGGAGGAGGAGGAATGAGGAGGAGGAGGAGGAGGAGGAGGAGGAGGAGGAGGAGGAGGAGGAGGAGGAGCGAGCACATGAAGGAGACGCGCCGAGTCAGGGTGCAGGACGGGGCAGACGGATGGGACAAGGTGAGAAGAGCACAATCTCTCACAGACATAAGAGAGAACATGCACGAAAACGAAACATATCCTCACACAGCGATCTTATAATGATAGGACAAGTGTGGCAACCCAGGGAAGGCCTGGGGTAGCAGAAAGGGCGGGGGCGATCAAAACACCAGCCCCCGACAGAAGACAAACAAGTTGAATACGGATTATGGCATGAGACCAAGCAACTGCACAGCAGGATCGGAGACGAGCATTCTCCTCGGGAGCGGAAGCGGAT